GTGAACCCATGAGCAGTTGGAGAGTTATTTCTTCTCTAGTTTTCTGCATTGCTTTGCAGAAGCAGCAAGTCTGCAGCAAACTTTACTGGTTTCCCTGAAATGAAAAAGGAGAACAACCAAGCACAGCAGAGCCAAAAATATATCATGGATTTACTAATGAGCACATTCTGGTTCTAAAGTTACGGCTGGTTTTCATTCTCATTTCTGTTAATTAATCAAGGCACAGTTCTTTGCTGAAATAGTTGTTGGAGATAATTTCAGCAATTATGTCGGAATTCTTGGAAACCCAATCTTTAAGGTGAAAATGCTCCTCCATGTGGCTTATCTTCTACTGCAGAGCTTTCCAAAACTTTAGCAGAATGCTAATTTTTTTCTCTTATATCACTTGCTATATCTAATGTAACACAGAAAAAAAATTAGATGTTAGTATTTTAGTGTAGCAAACAACACTACACAGGTGGAGGAGAAAAGGTTGTCCTCTTGAGGGTCCCTGGTTATCCTGGGCTAAATAAAGATATAGTTCATCAGCTAATGTTCTTGTAAAGTACCTGCAACACAGCCTTATGCTCTGATTTTGTCAGATCTCTGAGGCAGCAGAGCTGATCTGGAGGAAGAATAAATTCAGACTGTGGCATGCCACTGATTCTTGGATCTGTTCTCTTATGTCAGACAGCACAACCTGCAGGTACTACCACAATTCCAGGAAACCTGCCCATGGGGTTATGGGGATATGGATTGGATGGTGCCAGGCTCAGCCTGTAGGCTGGAAATAGAGGCTGTGGTGGAAGCACAGTTAAAAAAACAAAGCTAACCACAATATTGAACTAGCTCTCATTTCTCCAGGGATTGGGAGAGTACAGCTATTCCCACCATCCATCACTTTTGAAGGCTGGACCCTTCTACTAGCCAATATGTTGAGATGCAATCACCTGCTTTTTCAGGGGAAGGTGAATAAAGTTGCAGGGAAAGGTAAATAAATCAAGCCACAAGTCAACTGAACTTCAAAATTTATAGGCTAACACAATGAGCTAAGTGGTTCTTTATGTGTGACCTGTTCTTACCACAAAAAATTGGAGGGGTGGAGAAATAAAGCTAAATGCAAACTTTTGCAGCAGATTTGTTTGTCATGTAGCTGAGAGGCTATGCAAATATGCTCCTGTGTTTGATGCTGTCAGCTGCCCCATCTCGTTGACCTACTCACAGCTATTTCTGTGCTGCTCATCATCATCATCATCATCTCTTAAGCAGTTTCCCTTCGTATGTGCATATGAAAGGAAGCCATTCCTATTCTGCAAAGGATTTGAGCATGTAGTTCAGTCCTAATGGCTACAATGCTTAATTTCTTTATGGAACAGGAAGCAATTAAGCATGCACTTATGGAACAAACATCTTAAATTGTTACAAGGAACATCTAGGTAGGATAGAGCTTTCTAACTATGCAGGTAGTTGAACACTGGAACAGATTGACTAAAGTGGCAGTGGAATCTCCATCCTTGGAAGTTTTTTTTTTTTTTAGAGGTTAGACAAATACTTGGAAGAAATGGCTTAGACAGGGATGATCCTGCCTTAAGCAGGAGGCTGGACTAGATAATCTCTTGAGGTCTCTTCCAGGCCTACTTTTCTATGCTTTTATGCATTTTGTTGTATCTGATCCTAAGTGCCTGGTCTGGATGTTAAGCCTAATACAAATAGCAATGACAGTTGTGCAAATTTCATGGCTTTTCTTACTAGGAATCTTGAGAAAATGCTAAACTTAACACAATGTGGGCTATTTCTGTACTGAGAAATATATAGCCTGTAAAATAAGAGCAGACTGGTATTTCTTGTACAGGTCATTGGAAATATATTTCTTCAATAAAAGGGTAACAGCTTGAAAAAGAGCTCATACTGAGCAAGATTTAAATTCTGGATGCTGGAAACTTTCCTAAGTGTACAGTGCAAAAAGTGCATCATACTTCTGAAAATATATTATAGCCTCTTGTTATTCTTGTTTTGATTCTAGGTAGTAATTAGGTCAATTTAAATACATAGCATCATTTATATATGGATATCCTATGCATTGCAATGTGTCTGATACTTTACATCCACAAATCTGTGCAACAGACCCACTTTCGTATATATTTCAGCAGTGACCCCTTCTTCAGATTATTAAATATGTAGCCTAAAATGTAGTGCAATGCATGACAAGAAAAAGATTAGGTGGATTCTTTAAAACATGAAACAAGCACACAATAGGAACATCAGCATTCAGATGCTTTTGGAATATAGTTTCCTAGCATTCTGAGTAACTGGGGTACAAACTGTAAACCAAGTGTCTTTTCTGCAAGGCTTTGTCTATAGTAGACCATATATTATGTTTGTACAGAACATGTAAAACAAACTGTATTTACTTGAATCCAAGAAGTTCCCCCCACATTTAACATGGGAAAAGAAGCCCTTTGTTTTTGTTTTGAGTACAAGGTGGAGGTGGGGAGTCAGAGCTGCAGGAGCTGCCTGCCCCCCACCTCTGCCTGCCACCCCCACTACTGCCCTACATGCAGGCTCTGGCCCCTGACCTAGTCACGCAACACCATAACAGTAATTCTGCTTCTGCGTGGCCAGATGGGGGCCAGATCTTGCATGTATTCTGTGCTCAGGAGGGAATGGTGCCTGAGCTGCAGCTGGAGCCAGAGCCAGAGCTGACAGTAAGAGACTGCAGGGGGCAGGCAGGGGTGCAGAGGCTGCAGAGAGGGAGTGGGCAGAGGCTGTGGTGAGTAGGCAGGGAGTAGAGGCTGCAGAAAGGAGCAGAAGGATGAGGTAGAAGCTGTGGGAGCATGCAGGAGGAGGGGCTGCAAGCATCATTGGGGGGGGGTGGGCAGACTCCAAGGGGGGAAGGGTTAGAGGCCACCTGCTCTCCTGCTGTTGCTTTCTCTTCTGCAGCGGTGGAGGGGGAGAATATAAGATGACCCTCCAATAGTTAGATTCTGTGCATGGAAAATTATAACAAATTTACAAATCTTCCGTATATAGAACCTAATTATTGGAGGGGTGTCTTAAATTCAAGGTCATCTTGGATTGGAGTGAATACACTTTATTGTGCACCATACTCCTAACTATACTAAGTTGTATAGCATGTGTCATGAGTTACTCCATCACCTTGCTTACATAGCTAAAATGATAGATGACCCAATAGAGACACTTTACGAACTACATGGGAGAATCTTGTGCCACAACAACTTTTAATATGAGACACTATGAAAATTAGGATTATGCATATCTCAACAGAACTGGGTTTGATGGTGAAGTTCAGAGTACACTGTGACTACAAGTGAAACTCTGTAACTGTATTACATGCAGTGACTGATTGCCATCAAATGGATTAATATCATTCTTGACATTTATGTATCTGTTTTGATGGAGGGCTGGGGTTTTTTTTTGGAATTGGTTCGATTTTTACAACAGAATGTCACGCTAGCATTTACTGTGACATCAAGAATATAACTTCAGCCTCGTCTTCTCCTGAAGTCTCATCACTGAATCACAGAAGAAGAAAGGCTAACACGTGCCATTGCCATGGAAACGGTATTGGATATCATGGAGAATACAGCTGTATTCCAAAGTGCAGAGAACAAAGTGAGCTGGTACTGCAGAACACTGACACAGCTTTTCATTTGCAGCCTGCACAAATAAAGCATAGTGTACTACACTCCTGATTCTTCAATATAAGCTGCCAGTGCAAGATCAGAAATCTGTTTGAGCTTTCATATTTGAGTATATACACAAAATTAATTAGATCAAAGGTTTAGAGCAGTGGACAGGTAAGAACAGGCATTACAGAAGCTGTATGTAAGTTCACAAGATATGGTACAGAACAGAAAAGGAACATAACAGAACAAGTGGAGGGGGAGTCATGATGCTTAAGATGGGAAGGATGTTGGGGAGACCAGCAAATAGCAAGGGCAGTGGTCAGCAACCTTTTCGTGGTGGGAAACTGGAATGACCTGGCTCAGGTTGGAGGCATGCTGATGCTAGGCTACCACTTGCACTTTTCCCTGCTGCATAGGCATGGCACCGATGAAGCCTGCCACCACCTAACTCTGGGCCACTTAGCTGTGGCGCAGCCTCTGCAAAGCCCCCTGCCACCAAAATCCTACCAAAGTTCCCCAGGTCAATGGACCATATCTAATGGCTCCACAGGCAGCAGCTAGCTCACGGGCTATAGGTTGCTGACCCTAGCACAAGGGGATGGATGGGAATGCACCAGGAAGGGAAATGAAGGGATGAACAGAGAATATAACTGCAATCTGACCTCTTAGGATCATCTCTGACTAATTTTAATAGCCACTGCTCTAAGTTGCTCCCTGTTGGTTATCCAAATGGTGTGAGGCCTATTTAGTGAAAGCTGACTATAAAATGTATTTACAGTGAGCACTTTTAAGATGAGACTGATCCTACAATGCAGATAGTATATTTGGAGGAGGTGCAGGGGCGGAAACAGGATGCCAGTCACTCTCTGACTTTGACATTAAACAGAGGTACTCAAATCAATCGGTGAGAAGCTAATTATCATCAGAGGTAACCAAAACAGTGGGAGTCAGGTTTATTAATAAAGGAAGAATTGCTTATTCTGCAAGCACTCATAAAAACAGAAAGTGGAGTCCAATAGAGGACATCCCCTATGGCTGGCTGCTCTCACTATTATTTCAGTCACTTATTACAGCTATCTAGGTCTAACAGAACTTTCAAACATATAGCTTCTGGCTATAATTTGCTACCTATGGAGTGCACATGTGGTAACAATATATATGTGTACATGGGTGGTCTTCTACACCTATAAAAGCAGCTCTTCCAGCAAAGTTTTCAGCTCTCAGGGAGGAGGACACTGCACACATCTGGTGTTTCTACCTGTGATGAACAGCTTTAAACTCCAATCAAGGCTCCATAAGGGAAAACTTAGCAGCTCCTGTACTGTATGACCCGTAAGGGAAAACTTAGCAGCTCCTGTACTGTATGACCTGGGGACATGAATCACATGAATCAATGAAGCTACAATGGTAAAATAAGAAACAAGGACTGTAAATGAAGAGCAGAAACTGTATTATTGGAGAACATCACTCCTTAAATGAACGTTCAACTAAGCATGTGGCTTCTGAAAACTGTAATATGGGGGTCAATTTGGCCAGTGCACTGTAAGGTGTAAAAGTAGCTGGCCATGTAGTTAAAAAAAGAACACTGTTACAGTAAACAAATAGTTTGGGGGTGTCTAATGAGACATAGTAATAAAACAGGGTGATGGTGTTCAGTCAGTATACATAACAGAAATCATCATCAACTTCAGGAGCTCTTGGTATGCAACGTTCAGACTTAAAATCTAACAGAACAAATTAACTATTTTAACATACATAAGGCCAACAGAATAAACCCTGAAAAGGATCTGGCTCACTCTTGCAGCTGGAGATTTGGAAATATTTTTAATTGGAAATCAATATAGTTAAGCAATGTCTCTTGAATCTGTTTGTCCTACTAAGAACAATAGGCATTTTCTTTTGATTTAGTTCTTTCAGAGGCACTATTTTCCTCTCAGTTCATTCTTGGTACTTTTTTGAGCTGAAAAATGGAATGATAGTAATGGGATAAAAGTCCTGATACAATAGGAATATTTTAGTGCAACAATTTATTGCAGTAAAACACAGACTATATTGATAGTATTTATAATACCCAAACCATAAAATATGTCATATTAAAAAGATAAAACAATACTAGAAGGATTTGTAATAACACTTGAATGAGAGAGACAGCTTATTATATGGGTAATACATTTTGCCTTAGAAAAACGCTGAATACTTTTTTCATCATTAAAAATAGATCATCTTTCCTCAACAATGAAGAAGCCAATATGGCCAACACCTCAGGCAAAGTTACTTTTTTTTCCCTGCACTTTTTCCTTGCTTTTTTTTCTGTGCATCTGGGCTTTTCTTCTCTTGCTCTGTTCGAGGGGCTGTTTCTTCAGTAGCCAGGGCTTCTTGTTTTTTGAGCTCAGCCTCTAGTAACTTACTTCTGTATGCTTCCCGAGCACTGAGAACCCTGCCTCGTGCTTCATCTAAGGATTCCTATCCAAAAACAAATGAATGTTCATATGTACAATGGATTCACATACCCCTCTAAATATACCCACACTTCTGTTATTTTCCAAATTTATTATGGTTTTATAGGCATGAATAGAAGATCTCTCTTTTTGTCTGCTCTCCACTCATTCATTTCTCACAGTCCTTTCTTAGGGACAAAACTGATTGTTGGTCCCAGCTCCAGGACTGGTAGACACCCCAGTAGAGTCTGGAGTCCAGAACTGATAACCTGTAGGCCCCTGACTTTCAAACTGCTGGTGCAGGGGGGAGCCCAAGATCTTGATTACTTCTTATGTTCCAGCAAGTTGAAAGGGTATGATTTGAATTTGATTCCCAATCCCAAAATGTGTGCCTCCTGCAATGTGTGTGTGGCAGGGCAGGAGGCACAACAATTTTTGGGGCTGAGGATCAGATCCCATGGAGCCTTTAAATGAACACGTGCTAGGGGCCTGAGATATCTAAAAACTCTGTGAATAGCACACATGTTGGTAGAAACAGAATTCTGCTCTTAATGCTGGATGTAGGATCAGGCACTGGACTAGATGGGTTCCTGGTCCAATCCTATTTCTGTCACTGATATGCTCTATGATTTAACGTAGTCAGGATAAAAATTTCAAAAGTACTTTGCAGCACAAGTGGAGTTTTCAAACATGACTGAACAGCCTCAGTTGTAAGGAATTCTGATGAGAAAACTTTCCCCGCAACCACTCCATGTTCAGATACTGCATCTGTACACTGAGTCATTGTACTCGATCATCTCTGTAGAATCTCCAAGACCCATACAAAATGTTATATGAGCATGATTAGAGAGACCAAGATACTGAGAAGTAACTAAATGCATTTGAATTCTAAACAAGACATCAGAAAGGGGCCTGATTTTTAGGAAGTGCAGAGAAGATCTTTAAAGACCAGGCCACTTAGGGATGTCTTGAATTGGAAACCTAAATATTTAGACACACAAAATCCTTACTGATATTTGAAAATCTTGAAATGGATCAGGGAGTCAGACCTACAAGTTCCCCTTCACTTTTAACAGAGGGACCAGTGCCAGTCAGTCAGTGTGTCTGATTTATCTATTTATGCATTTGGGAGCTTTTATGAAAGAGAAATTTAAAATGACTGCAACAAATCAATTGCTCAGACATTTTCACTGGAGTTGGCTATCAAAAGTCCTGTTCTTACTGACTCCTAAAGATTTAGTCAATTTTGTATTTTTACCAGTTTCGTTTCTTAAATCAATTATATTCATCTTAGCTTTGACGTTTATCACTTATGCTGTCCCACCTGCTGAATGTATTATTTGTAGCTGGGTTCTATCCAAGTAAAATAATCCCAGTAGTGTGTTGGTTTGGCCTTATGCAGATTGCAGAAAATCTGCAGAATACCAATATTGTGTTCTTCAGCCTCTTTTCTGAAAATATGAGCAGTGATTGTCCTTTGTCACAAATATTCTAGTTTTTTTTATTATCAATACATATACTTACTTAAAATACTATATACTTCTTCAAAAATTGGGAGATGATTAATATTTATCTAAGCACTCACCTTTCTTTCACTTTGATTCATTTCCAAAGTGATTCATTTCACTTCATTTATTTCCAAAGTAATGCCATTTGAAAGTGATAGCTCAAAAGATACACCGAGTGTCATTCATACAATATGGTGTAACAATATTTTTCCAGAATCTTTAAGTTAAACCATAGACTAGTGAAATTCCAAGCTCATTAACTGCCTTTCTAATGAAGTCCTGACTATACAACTCAAAAGAATGGGGGGAGGGTATCTAGATTGGAAATCACAGTAAATATTACTGAAAATGTGAACTTACTTGTAGATGTTCATACATTTCAAGCATACGTTGTTTCAATAAAATGCGAGCTTTTTGGTCTTTTTCTCTCTGTTCCAGAACTTGTTTTCGAAGTTCCCTAAAATGATTGATTTCTTCTGCTTTACGCATTTCCTGCTGTTGAATGATAAACTCGTTTTTTAGCACAGGCTCAGGCATTGTTTTTCTGTAGGAAATACAAAGAATATTTGTCTCACTTCAGAGGCAGATCAGTATAGCTCTTAGGTGATTGAACACCTACATCCAATATATTTAACTTGTACATCCAAACACTATTATCCTGGCTAAGTATAATTAAGGAGGTGATTTTTGTTCTATGACCTTTTTAGAAATGACCATTGGGTGAGCGTCACAAAAGTAGGAAAATGTCTAGTTTTTTTTTAAGTTCAAACTTGGTAGTCCTCCAGGGAGAGTTAATTTGTCTTGATAAGTTTGAAAAAATATATTGAGCAACAAACACACTATACAGAACTGAAGACAGCACATAATCCTAGCAAAAAGAAAGCATTTGAGAAGACTGTGTGACATTTTCTGCTGTCTTCATTTAATTCATTTAATTATGCCAGTTTCCTCTTCAATTAAAGAGCATATTCAAGAAAGCATCCAGCATGTGTTTAAATCCTTTGGAAGTCAATTATGTTCTTAGATACTGTCCTGAATAGGAATGAACTTATACACTTGCTTCGCTGCTATCTTGTACTGAGGCCTTTGTGCAGTATATCAGATAAACAAATAACTAGACAGCACATTAAGACACTCCATAAAGCATTTGTTTATTACAGTGATAGATCTGGTTATTAAATTCATCATTAAACATACATGTTTGCTAAATATACTGCCTGAATGTTGTATTCCACAGACCTACTGCAAATTAACTAACCATGTTTATTCTTAATATTATGAAATACAGTGAAATATACTATCACCTCCCAAAATTCTTGCTTCTCGCACTGTGCGCTAATGAAATTCTTCTGTTGTTTGTTGAACTAAGAACAGTAATTGAAACAACATGTAGGAAGGAACAGATTTTGTAACAGAGAAAAGTCAGGGAGTTTATGGGGAAGGGCTAAATTTTGCCATCACATATACTAAGCATGGGATAACTACTAGGGCTATGTGAAGCTTTGGGAGTTGATTCAATTCAGAGGCGATTCGGCTGGATTTGCTGGCCGAATCTCCAAATCTGAATCAAATCAGAGGACTAATAAAAATGTCTGAATTGATCTGAAGCTCTCTGAACCTTCAGAAAACATTCGGAGAGCTTCGATGATTCGGGCAGTGCCCACGGACTGCACCAGGGAGCTGGAGCTGGACTTGGAGCTGGTAAGTAGGGGGTGGGGCAGGGGGCCATGGGGGACCCTCTGCCAGGCCCCATCCCCTGCCTGCTCCCCCAACCCCGCTGAGCATCCCCCGCCTGCTCCCCCA